GTGCTGGCACAGACTACTTGGACTGAAAGATTTACTTCTGTACCATATCATTCATGTAATTTTATGTAATATGGAGGAGATCATCCAACAAATTGATCCCAAAACCTGGTGCTAGTTATTCCATTGTAACCCAATTCTCTATAGAATCATAGGAATTACAGTGTTGAAGTAAGGTTTTCAGAGGCATTTTGACAGTGGTTTTAAATTGAAATACCTATAGACTCTTAATGGTATTATTCTGAAAATCCCGGTGCTTTGAAATACAGCCAGTCAATCTTCTGTAGGTGGTAAGAGGATGCAAGTTGGAAAGGTTGAAAAAATTCATGTTATATGCATTCCATTAGATAAGTGGGGTCAATACTGTTCTGTAAAAGTGTAACTGTGCTGAACAAACAGCACTTGCACATACACTGGAGTACTTTTAAGTAACATTTCTCATGCGTTTAAAGCAAAAAAGCGCTGATCCTTCTGTAGTGTATAGCAAATCCCAGCTGTGAAATCATAGAATTATACAGCACAGGAGGAGGCATTTGGTCCATCGTGTCTGTGCCGTCTCTTTGAAAGAGTTATCCAAATTAATCTCACTCCCCCGCTCTCTCCCCATAGCCTTGCAAATTTGTCCTCACCAAATATCTATCTACATTTCTCTTGAAAGTTGTTATCGAATCGGCTTCCACCACCCTTTCAGGCAATGCATTCCAGATACAAACTGTGTGAAAAAAATTCTCCACATCTCCATTCTGGTTCTTTTGATAACTATCTTAAATCTGTGTCCTTCGGTTACCGTTCCAACCACCAATGGAAACAGTTTCTCCCTGTTCATTTTATCGAATCCCTTCATAATTTTGAACACCTTTGTTAAATCTCCCCTTAACCTTCTCTTCTCTAAGGAGAACAATTCTAGCTTCTCTAGCTCTCAACATAACACATAACATAAGTCCCTCATTCCTGGTACCATCCTGGTAAATCTCCTTTGCATCCTCTGAAAGGTCTTGATATCCTTCCTAAGGTATGGTGCCCAGAACTGAACACAGTACTCTCTAGCTGAGGCCTAACCAGTGTTTTATAAAGGTTCATCATAACCTCCTTGCTTTTGTATTCTATGCCCCTATTTCTAAAGCAGAGTGTTCCGTATGCTTTTTTAACAGCTTTATCTACCTATCCAGCCATCTTCAAAGATTTGCTTATGTGAATCCCCAGGTCTCTCTGTTCCATTGTACGATCTTGCTTACATTGCCTCTCCTCATTCTTCCTCCCAAAATGCATAATTTCGAATTTCTCCGCAGTAAATTTCATCTGCCATGTGTCTGCCCATTTCACCAGTCTGTCTAAGTCTTCCTGCAGTCTGCTACTATCCTCCTCACCGTTTACTACTTTTCCTAGCTTTGTATCATCTGCAAACTTGGAAATTGTTTTTGAATTATACCCAGGTCCAGGTCATGTATATAGATTACAAACAGCAGTGGTCTTACTATCGAACCCTGGGGGACAGCACTGTATACTTTGATCAACCTTTTATTCTTTATATGCTTATAAAATACTTTAGGGTTCCTTTTGATGTTACCCACTAATCTTTTTCATACTGTTTTGACCAAATCTGTTCAAGACTGTATCATTTAAGCCACCACAGAAACGATAAAGAGATAAGAGCCATATCCACAGACAGGTATTGTTTTACCTTCTTGTTATCAGTATCATCTAGCTTTGGTTTATGTCTGTGTATGTTCTCTGTGTATTGTTTGCGTGCAGACAGTGAAATCTGCACTTAGTGAAGTATACTTGCATTTGTCAATTTCATGCCCTGGTGGATTTTAATGATAAAGTGAGAGATGAAGGAGAAATCTGATCCTGGCAAGTCTAATGTGACAGATGACCCTTGTCCACAAAAGGAAAGATTAATTTGTACAAGTGTTCACAGGGACACAGGAAGGTTGACAGTACCTCTTTGTCTTAAGAATATGTTATTGTTTATACATGGTTTGTGCCTGGTGTCCTTTTTTGAGTTATTTATCTATGGACTAATAATGCTATTCTTGACCTTGACATTGGTTTCAAACTTTAAATGGACAAAATGTTATGAATAAATTGAGCTATCTATTGAGCACTCTGACATGGATTACATCAATACCAACAACAACAAAATTATATTTATAGAGCGCCTTTCAAGTCAGGAGGACGTCCCAAAGCGCTGAACAGTCAGGTGTCGGGGCCCGAGCATTGGGGAGGGGTGTGGTGTAGGGGTGAGGGAAGACAGAGAGGTGGGAGGGAGACCAAAGGCAAGGTCTTGAGACTGACCTTGAAGGAGGCGAGGGAGGAAGCGAGGTGAAGGGACTGTGGGATGGAGTTCCAGAGTGTGGGGGAAGAGAGACTGAAAGCCCGGCCACCGATGGTAGAGCTGGTCGGGCGGGAGACATGGAGCAGTCCGGAGCCCGCTGAACGGAGGGAGCGGGCAGGTTGGTAGTATTAGTATTATTAGTATAATAATAATAATAAAATATAATAATAAACATATAATAATAAAATTCATAATCTTTGCATTTGATACAACACTTATTTCAAAACATCTTTGTTTAGTTTACTGTAAGGTTAAGATTTACTATAAGGTACTGTGATTGTGTAAGCAAACGCAGCAAATAATCTGCATGCAGATATATCCCAAAACAAGCCATGGAGTGAATGACCAATTTTTTTTCAATCTGAGGGATTGTTAGCCAGGAATAGTTTTAGGGAATGAGATTTTTCTTCATTAAATGTCACAGCTCAAGAGTTTCAGTCCCTGTTGCAATCTGGTACCAAAATCTCACTGTAGGAAATTTTGGGAGGAGCAGAGAAAAATGAACAGCAAAGGATTTTGGTTCTCATGCTTAACCTTAGCTTTTTTGCAGAGTAACCCAAGCCTGAATTCCCACCTAGTCTTAGCCCATAAAGCCATTATGTCTTGAAATATGATGGTGCAGAATTTGGAAGATGATTTTCCTCAGTTTTAAAATTTAAAATTCTATATCATCTTACATTTTCAGACAAGTTTTAAAGGCTGAAACCATAAGCAATTTTGGGCCTCTTGTCCTTAAATATGCCATTGTTTTCCAATCATTTCCCAGAAGTGTCCACAATTCCTTGAAATCATATGATTCCTGTAATTGTTGCATGAGTAAATCCCTGGTTGGGAGCAAATTGGTGCAAAGTGCTAAGAAATCAAATCATATACAGTGACTGTAAAGGCAGTGTCTACATTTGGATAGTTTATCACTTAGAATTTATTTCGTAACTAATTACATAGACCAAGTCATATGATCGGCCAGTACATGTAGCTGCTGATTTTTGTGAGACAATGTAGATCTATGTGGTGGGCAATGATGTGGAGTATGAATGTGGCCATTGTACACTCTGATAAACAGTAGAGACATTGTGGATGTATTGTGTAAGAGGAGGAGATTAGCATACATGTTTAGTGTGTCAACAATGCATTGTGTTATGCAGAGGTTTTCACAGTAGACCCCTTGTAAGAGTCTACAATAGCATCTGAAAAGGTTTTTAGCTGCTTCACTTCTGCTTGACAATCTGCCTAAATACCAAATATCTGAGATATAATAGCATTTCCGCCAGGGCAGCTCCCCCCCCACCACACACACACACACCTGGCCTGGCCTACAATCCCCAGATAACATTGGTCATTCATTTCATGGATGTCAGTAGGACATTGCTGTGCGCAAATGGCTGCCACGGGTACCTACATGATACACTTTACAGTCAATCCTGTGATGTGCTTTGAAATGTCCTCAAATTTTATTATTATGAAGCACAGAGCCCCAGGACCAGCCCGGCTGAGTTTATATTGTAGCCAGTGTTGTGAGGCTGTGTGTATTACAGAGGTTTCCCTGTAAAAAATACAGTTTATATCAGGAATATTTTTCCAATGGCTGTGTAGCCACCATAGTGTTCTTTAGACACCATTGTGTGATACGTACCATAGCAATGGAAGTGACAAAATGAAATTCTAATCAGACAAGACTGTCATCTGAATCCCATTTGGTCTTGTGTTCTTTTTAACGTTTTACAAATGATAATAATCCTTGCTTTAGGTATAAAGCTTTATCGAGTCATCAAGATGTCTGATTGCCTTCTTGGGAATTATTGTCAAGTCTAATGACTGTATTTTATAGGCGAACACGGCAGCTAATTTGCACCCAGAAATATCTCACAAACGGCCATCAAGTGAATAACCAAATTTATTCTGGGGAATTGTTGGCCAGACCAACAGGAGAAACTCCCTTCTCTTGTTGAATAGTGGCATGGGATCTAAATGTAGAATGTAGTCCTCATTTGTTTCCTATCATAAATACCAGAGTGGGAAAAATATATACTGAACCTGATGACTCAATAAGAAGTGTGCCATTTGATTGTGGCCATGGCTGTTACCTCACAGTTCATAATCTACCAGCCATACACTACCTTTACATTGTCACACCATCCAAATCAGTGTACTTCTAAATCATTGAGAACCATTATGAAATCAACTTATGACTGAGGATTAATCAAAATGTGTTATTTCAGTTCTAACTAATCCTCACATCTGATATACCGCTTTTTATGTTGGGAGAGTGTCTTAAAGTGCTTCACATGATATATTGTAAAGTTTAGTTTCTCTGTTTTGTAAGTGTATGACAGAGATTATGCAAGTTGGTCAAAAGATTTGGGTAACTTAGTTTCCTTGGCAAATATTTCCCGTTTTTTAGCCAATTTGGCAATAAATTCCACAATTCCAGGCGCAAACTAGCTTATTAGCACATCTTCCAGTTACAAATACCAAATTTCAACCTCAGTGTGTGTTACTAGTACCACAAATGATCTCAAAACTAAATACGTACAAATTAAATGAGAATTAGAAGCCTTCCATTAAATCCAGACTTGGTGATGTGCTATATTTCCTTATACATCATATGGTCTTGAGTCAAATTCTACATTGACTCTGATTTTTATCTCTTGCCCTTCCATTTCAGCCCTGGTCGAACGTGTCTAACCTTGCCAAGGACTTCATTGACAGGCTTCTCACCACGGACCCCAGTGAGAGAATGGCAGCCATGCAAGCTCTGAAACATCCATGGATTGTGACGATGGCTGCGTCATCTTCTATGAAAAACCTGCACCGCTCCATCTCGCAGAACCTGATGAGGCGCACGTCATCCCGCTGTCAAAGCTCTAAATCAGCTCAATCCACCAAGTCCAGCCGCTCCAGCAAGTCACGTCGTTTACGAGAGAAAGAAATCCTGGAGTTTAACCTGCGGTACCCACACCACGGTGACCTGTAGCAAGGAACTAGTGACTATTGAGATTTTCTGAATTGCAGAAGTGGTGCAGAGGTCTGCTGAACTCTTTACACAAGTGGTGGGTCCAAGCCTTTAATTGCTTTCAAACGGCTTCTCCGTATCTTCACAAGGTTGTGTCGGGATTCCACTTAATAATCGTTCACACTGGTCAATTTGTCAGTAATGAGAGGGCACACATTTAAGATAATCACAGAGGAATGAAAGGCGAGGCTGGAAATCATTTCTTTACCCAGAAGGTGGGTGTAATATGGAAAGGAAGTCTTTGCCACAAATAGTTGCTGAAGCAAATTCCATAAATTATTTTAAATTAAAAGGAATTAGTAAGTTACTTGAATAAAAACTATTAAATGGTTGGAGAAGCAAATAGGTGAACATGAATTACACAATGTGCTGGGGGCAGAACCCTACGCCCTCCCCACCCCCCACTCTATTCTCTATCTTCATGTGCTGAAGCCAGGTTACGTTTTCATCTAATGACTCGTGGGTTGATGTAATGGCTCGTGCATTGATTTAGCTATAATCACTTCCAGACTAGACTATTCAAATACCCTGCTTCCAACTCCTCTCTAAACAAATTGCAGACCATCCAGAACTCTGCAGCCTCTGTCCTACTCTGTAACAGACTGTGAGCCCAGCCTTGCTCAGCTCAATGATTCTGCATCCTCACATTCAGATGCCTCCACAGCCTCAGCCCACTCTACCTCTGCAATCTTCCTCAACCGTACAACCTAGCCTCTCCCTTCACTCAGGGAACTGGCCTGCTGCTTGTCCCCTGCCTGACATGCTGTGATGATGGGTGAGCTTTCAACTATTCTACAAAATATACAGTCAATTCATTTTACAGTATATTCTGTAAAACGCTTCGAAGTGCCTCGACCACCTGATAAGGTGCTACATCAAATGCAAGGATTATTATTAGTAGTATTCTACAGCTGCTCTCTGGAATTCTGTTTTGCATCCCTCTGACTCGCCCCCCCTCTCCCTTGACCTTTCAACTGGGCTTTTCATTATCTTTCCCCTCTCTCTCTGCCCCCCCACCATCCTCCCTCACCCCAACTCAGGTTCCCGGTGAGCTCTGTGAAGTGCTTTGAGACCTCAATGCACAAAACCAAAACCTGCGATTGCAAAAACACACATTTCAGAAATAAAAGGGTTGGCATTTTCAGCCATGTTAAACACTGTGAGAATGCAGAACATGGCCACTGTTAGATGAGTCTTGATAAATATCTGAACTCTGAGGATTAACAGCACTAAGGCATAAAAAATCCGTTGCTGAACTATAATGTGAATGTGAAATCCCAATGGTGCAAGATAACCCAAAGGAGTAATACTGAGCAGAGTGTTTACCCACGTCTGTCAAAGCTGGGTATGCACCGGATAGTTTAATCATGTTGAAAGCATTTAAAATAGATGTTCTTTACTGAAAAATATTTGCTAAATTGCTCCAACATTACAGTTTTTGTGATCTTGTCTTAAGTCACAGAATAATGCAGATACAGTGATTTCCCTACACAACAGAAGCATTTACAGAGTTATTTTATTTTGATGAACTCACAAGTGCAATCCAGCACTGACCGGAAATTGAAGGACTGTTTCAACTGTCTATAGGGTAATACAATCATAAAATGCCGTAGACTTAATAAATACATTGTTAGTCATCAAATCATTACCATCAAAATTCAAGCGTGATTGAAGAATTGGTGTACATGTGTATGCAATGTAATGTAAACCACTTTTGTAACAACCCACAACTCTCATTCTTTCATCTTTCCTGAATACCCGAGTACAATATTAAAAGGTTATGCTTTCAGAACGGTGGAATAGTGTTGGCGCTGCAATATGTTCAGCAATACACTGTGATACCTCAGCATTTGCTTGCAGTACAGAGGAATTTTTACCTTAAGATTTATTTTTTAATGTATTGGTGACATGAGGAAGGAAATATACAGGCGGATCAAGACTATTGTAAAAAATTGGTAGTTTGAAGAACATGCCGAATTTGATAAATCCTGTATCACAAAAAATGAACGAAGCAGTTATTAAATGGAACAAATTAGTTGAAATTATTGAATATTGCAGTTTTATATTTGTGTGACTCAGGTTAATCTCATTAATGTATCAGTGGTAGCACTCTCACCTGTGAATCAGAAGGTTGTGGGTCCAAGCACCATGTCGGGACTTGAAATCACATTGTCTAAGATGACAATACAATGCAACGATAGGGGGTGTTGTATTCTCAGAGATGCTGCCCTTTGGATGAAGCATCAAACCAAGGTCCCGTCTGCCTGTTCAAGTGGAAGTTAAAGATTCGGAAAGCGTCTTGGCCAAGGATCCCTAAATGGTTGGGAGCTGAAAAGGTGGGGAGGGGAAAGATGACCGAATGTACGGTCAAAGAGGTAAGTCTTGAGATGGACTTTGAACATGGGGAGTGAGGGAGGATGTGATGCAGAGGGCAAGTCGGAGGGTCTTTGTAATGATATTATGTGCCTTGTGTAAACTAGGTATGAATGTGTGTATGTTATCTGTCATGTGTAAAGCATGACACATAATACACATTGGTATAAAATAAATTACAGGTGCCTTTAGTTATATAATTCACAACCATTGAATCAGGTTGGTTGTGAATTACATAATTAAGCAATTCGCTCCATGCACATATGTTTACACACAATGTGTGATACCCTGCACTTGCATATGTTTTACACATGACTTTGAACTCACAGTCGACTCTTAACATTCCCAACACAGCTCTGGGAGTTCGCTGCATTGTTGTAGGTGTCAATTTTTTGAATGAGACATTAAAGAGGTCCTTTATGCCTATTCAGGATGTTAAAGATCCCATAGCACTACTCGAAAAGAGAAGGGAGTTTCTCCCGGTGTCCTGGCCGACAATTCATTCACTTCATGGTTGATGCGGAAATATTGCTGTACGCAAATTGGTGTTACATTCACCTGTAAAAACACAGTCACTTTACAGTAAATCCTTGTGAAGCGATCTGAGATGATGTAATAAGACCCAATATCAAATGCAAGGATTATTATTTTTATTTGTGCTCACGTATGACAAAGTTTGACCACTCCAGTAAATGCTGTGTGCTCAGTAACTGAATGATGAAGTAAACATGAGCTCCCCCCAGTGGTAGTTATTTTCAACCCTGTCATTGTCAATTTCACTTTTCACTTGTTTTCACTCTCTTCATCACTGCCTTTAGTTTCATCCTCAGACATTCCAGGCCAGTAAAGAATAATAATTATGTTCTTTGTTTGCTTTGCTTGTTGATGTCTCCAGGAGCTTTATGAAAGGCAGGAAAAGTTTCAGGTAACCTCAATGGTTTCTTTTCCTCTTACACCTAAAGGGAGAAAGGGAAGTACACCATTTTTATACAGTACACTAATAATAATCTTTGCATTTGATATAGCACTTATCACATCTTTGAGATGTCTCAAAGCTCTTCACAGAATATATTGTAAAGTGATTTTTTGTTGTTGAAGGAATTATTACTCCCGGAAAAGTGATCCGCCATTCGACTAACAACGGTTCCTACCTATTGTTAGGTGAACAAAAGCATGTAGAGTACAGAAACTTGCCCAACATTTCCCCTGGCAGGAAACGAACCTAGGTCTCTCACTTGCGAGGTGAGCGCTCTAACCACTGAGCTACAGGACTTCACAATACAATTCATATTTATCTAACATCTTTCACATCCGGGGTGGTGGTGGGGGGGGCATCTCAAATTACTTGACAATGCTGGATCATTACCTGAGCTGGGGGGAAAAGCCGACGAGGGTGGGGAGAGGAAAGGTGACCAAAAGCATGCTCAAAGAGGTACGTTTTCAGATGTGCCTTGCACAAGAGGAGGGATCGAGTGAGCCAGAACAACTCCTTGACGAAATTCCAGCAAGGCCAATATACCAATATAATTATAGTGCCTATAACCAACTTTTCTCAGAACTCATCACAGTAATTATTTTGAAGTGTAGCAATTGTATCCTCAGGTAAACATAGGGGCCATTTTGCATACAGCAAAGTCTTACAGGCTAATTTACTTTCTCATTTCTAATTGTGTTATGGGATCTTTAAGATCCACTTGAAGAGCAGATGGGGTGGGGTCTGGGGGGGGGGCAAAATTTAACATCTCATTGGAGGAACAGCAACTCCAATAATCAGTACCCATAAGGTATACATTGCAAATTGGGTTTTGAAAAGATAAACAGCTTTAGGAAGTTCTCAGGAATTAAACCTCTTTGATGTTTGAAACTTTAATTGAAACACTTCAAAAAATGTTTCAAAAGTTAAACCAATATTTTGCCAAAATCAAACCAGGTGAAACTCAACATAGTGAAGATCAGCACTTGGCTCAGTCTGAACTAACAAAATCACTTGAGTTTGGATTTCTGGGTAAATTCTGTGCCCTTCAGGTTGACATTGTATTTAGTCTGCCAACTCTCTTTCAATAATCTGAGCTGTGCTCTGCTCCAAATGTTGATAGCAATGCAATGCCAGAACTATTAAGGGCTGTCAAGTTTCCAAATATATTTTCTTACGATATCTGGCTGCTATGTACGTTGCTCTAGTGCCACAAAGAGGAACAAATAAGATACAAGTCAGGATAATTTCATTATTTTAATGCAGGTATAATAAATATGTTTTTTTTAAAAAACGCAATGCTTTGGAGTAAATGCACATTAGAGATAATCATGTTATGCTTGTTCATAGATTTGTTTATCAGAACAGTCACTATTTGTGAAGCACTTTGAGACATTTCAATACTATAAAAAGACCAGCTCTTTCTAAATTGCCGTAAGAATAGTTAAGATAGCAGAAAGCCACTAATTGCTCTCATATTATTCTACTCTCGTTCTCCAGGCGACAGCCAGGATACACAATGTAACCCATTGAACGGTGACTCATTAGTTGAATGTGCAAATATTCAATCGTACTTACTTATCAGTCTGAATACAAACCAGGGTAGCCACTGAATCCCAGATACAGAGGGTGTGTTCACAAATCTACCAGCTGTCATCCCAAGCCTCAGTGTTTTCTCATGAGGCTTGTGAATAATGTTTGCCTTCAGTGTTGTGGAGAGACCTTTGCTCTGTATCTTAACAACATGCCAGCTCTTGAAGTCCAGTGTTGTGTATCAGGCTTAATGGACACTAACAAACAAAGATAAGAATATAAGAAACAAAGATCCTTCTATAAGAGACTTTGGCAAACAGCCGAGGCCATCGTGAGACTGATTCCACCTTCTCCAGGGTGCAGAGTGAATTTTCAGTATAGGTTGGGTCATCCCTGTATCCCTGCAACCATTTTTCCAGGTTACAGAAGGAATGAGCAATCCCCTGTGTATTATTACATAACTAAAAGAACACAGGGCCACAGAAGGAGGGCTGTCACTCCTTAAGAACTCTCACAAAATGCATGAGAGAGATATTCTCTTCCTCACTCTCAGGACCTTCCATTTTCTGCATCAGGAATCGAAAGGAAAATCTAATTGTAAAAATGTACAGATTTATAACATAATGATAATAATTAAATCAAAGATACGATTCCTGTTAGAGGAATTTAACCAAAAGTCCTTGAACCTCTAAACCTCGCTGTTTCTAATAAAAAGTCTCATGATTTCCTCACACTTATAAAATATAAAACATCAACGAAACAATTGTAATGTGCATGTGGGCGTCAAGGGACTCTCTCAGAGCTGAACAGATTCTCTTTAGTGTTATCATGTTTTATGAATATTACCAGACCATCCAGATCGTCTTTCCCATTGATCAAACAAGGATCAGTGTTGATGGTAACTGTGGAGATGGACCTTCCTCCTTTCATCCAAGGCTGGAGTGGATGAATGATTACTTGAGGGAAATAAAGGATAGAAAAGCAAATTAATGCAACAGGAATTACTGATAATATACTGGTGAAAGGATTTTTATTTGTTGGCATATGTGAAGATGACCTTAAATGCAGTTGATTCCAGACAAAGCTCTGGATCAGGTCAATCTGGTTGCAGCTTCTTGGGAAATCATTAGTGTCTTCTATGATAGTAAAATAGTACAATTTACTTAGCCTTCCTACTTGAAGATTGAGATTTCTGTATACCAGGCAAATGCACTTTAGTATAATCTTTAGAGATGGTAAAGATAGTTACTGTATATGGGAAGTAGACTTGAGGAAGTTGGAACAATAGGCTGCATGGAATGATGGTTTGGACATACAACTTCTTGCAATTATATAGCCCCCTTCATGTAGGATAACATCTCAGAGCACTTCACAGTGGCGGGGTTGGGTACCAAGCTAGGGAGAAGTGGGAGGTGACCATCAATGCGATCTAAGAGGTCGCTATTAAATCTTAGGATTTAAAAACAGATAGGAGGTGAGTTGTGGGAATAGAGGCAGGAAGATCCAGAGGTTTGGGAGGTGTAGTGACTGAAAGCTCAGTTACAGATGGTAGCCGGAGGGGTCAGGGAATGCACTGTGTTAGCTTTTAATGCAGAGAAAGTCTCACTGCAGACTGTGGAGTACTTCTGGTGAGTTGATGGTCATTCTGAAGGGAAGTATTCACAAAGAGTATGTTAGGAAGGGTTTACCACTGATTGGTAGACAGAGGTTCAACAACCAAAACAATAACTTGCATTTATATAGCCCCCTCCATGCAGGGCAGCGTCTCTGGTGTTTACGCATAGAATAACTGGAGCCTTAATGTCCATTAGCATGTTTGAGGTTATTTTTGTTATCTCTATTGGAAAAAGATTAGAATTTAGTCCAACAGGTTACAAGGAAGACTTGTTGAGCTCAGCACACTGTACTCCTTTAAGAAACAGCCTGATTGTGGGGTGGATATACTGGAAAGATAAGATGAAATGGGCAAAGAGCCTTCTTCATTTGAACCTCTCTTGTACTTTTCAGAACACAAGAGTTATCAAAAATCACATCCTTTAGATTGCACTGATGAATTCCTTGGGGGCGAAGGACATCTAGTTTGGATGCTTGCTCCTTGTGCCCTTGAACTATTAATTCT